TATATATATGTAAATCCCTTTAAGAAGTGTCGATCTTAAAATCGTTTTAAATACCATGGTAACGGCACGCGTCTATTCAGCTAGCAGCGAAAGCAAACACAAAACGATATTAGAATACGAACGTTACTCGAATGTATTGAAATGTTCGAATCAACCATTGACTTTGTCTTACTATTTCTTGCCCTCTTCGATGTTTGTCCAATCTCCAGTTGCGACCGACTGTTTGTGCAAAGTTTTTGAGGAACCTTGGACGCGGAGGCGAAGTTAAAGACTTCCGTTTTGGAAGCACCTATCAGCAGGCGCGGCAGCGGGGGTTGACGTCACCCAGGTAGTCTGGGAAAAGGCTTGTCAGGTGATGTTTACGGTTTCGACGCAGTTTTCTCTCCATGTTAAGAAGAATAAGGAAATGGCACAACAAAATAATTTAAAATAGTTAGGTTGAATAGTTAAAACTGAGCTGTGCAAAAATAATTCTTCATTTGTTTTTTCCAAGTCACGAGTTTGGCTTAAATGCATTTATGTGACACGAAGAAAACATTGCATCATTCTGCAGCCAGTAAGCCATTTACTGTATGCTCTGTTTGATGACATGTACACTAAACTGTTTATGAGAGTAAGAAATTCCTGAACCCTCCATTTTGTGGAGGTCTAAAGCCCTATTCGCACGGGATTAGTATTATCTGGGGACCTTGTGTGATTTTGAAATGAACCCCCCACCTCTGAATTTCGTGTGGTGCATTCGCACGGGATAAGCGAATCCTGTGATTTTACTCGAATTTACCGACTTATCTACCGGATACCCGGATGTCAAGGCTTTGAGAGTCCCGTTCTATGGTCCAGATGGATTATAAAAAAGAAAATAAATTAATATAGTTTCGTGCCCTGTGACATTTACATTTCACCAGGTTAAAATAGTATCTCAAGCTTTATGCTTGATTTATTTGTAACACATTAACCTCAAAACCTTTTCAGCCTGTTCTTTTTACAAATTGTATGGTGTAGCGATATAACAGCACCCAAAATACTATCAAACACTACAACGCAGCTCCATTCTTCGCGAAAGATGGATAAAAAAGCGCACATTAAACAAAAACCTCGAAAATTGATATACGACCCGCCAAATTCAGGCCAAATCACAGAGATGCCGATTCGCACGGGACTAATATTATCACAGGACCTCGGTGTTCAGCGAAATATGGTAAGTCTTTTGCGGGGGAATTTTTACTTTACAAATTACAGACATGGCCGATTCGCACGGGATTAAGATCACAGACAACCTCCGCAATTATTACAAATGACTGGAGGTCACCAGGTAGGCTAATACTAATCCCGTGCGAATAGGGTTTAAGATACGACATGGAAAGTCTGGTGCATAATGAAAATGAAATCAAGTCAAGACAAGTGGGTATGCAAAAAGTCAGGTGTTGCGATATAAAGAAATTTTCTGGGAATGACATTTTTGATTTTGTGAAAAGAAATTAATATCGAATGCACTAAAATGAAAGCAGACAAAAATCTGGAAAAAAAAAAAAGTTAAATGTCATTCATTTAGCATGATTTAAGGATATAGAAGATTAAAAAAATATACCCATCAGTAACAATTTGGACTTCACTTGTAGAAGACTTCATTTGACCATTAATTTGACTTATGTCAATACATTATGTCACATGTTTTGCATTAAAATGAGACAGAGGGGAAATCCATTTAAAGTCAAACCAGTTTGTCAGCAGAGTTCTTTTGTTGTTTACGGGCTGCTTTTCACCAGAAAAGGACATTAAATCTCTTTACTTTCTTTATTCACCCTTTCCTTATTAGAGACTGAAATAATAAAGAGACATTTGTATAATGTTTCATATTTACTGTATTCATAGTAGCTGCCTTAATGCATTTATGCAAATACAGAAATGCACAAATACATAACTGCAATAACAACCACTTGCGTATTACATTTACGTCATTAGCAGACACTTTCTTACTTCAAAATATGCTGTGGGAGTGCATAGGTCTATATTGATGATTACAAGTAGACAAGAATATCAAGGTGATTGCTTTTACTTTGTATACAGTACCAATACAGTGTACATTACAGTGGTATCCAGTAAACAATGACAGATACACTTTTTCATAGCATATCATACACAGTACTTCCTGTATGGCTTACATATGCCATATCCTGTAAAGGTGTAGTGCCATTCTGTCTTGATTTATTTTTCTGTATATCACATACATCTATTTTCATATACGTAAGATGAATTAAGTAATGCATCTCTGGTTTATTTTCTCTGTGGTCCATTTAAACGAAACAGTTCAATATTATGGCCACTAGAGGTCATCTGAAGGATGTGTGGGGGCAGACATTGTCTGCTTTACTGAAATCATGTAGACAGTTTCCTGGAAGGAAAAAGATTGACTTGTCACCGGGTTTTCACTGAATTACGTCACATTACTGCACGCACATTTAAAGCCTTTTAGTTTTGGAAATATGCCTTACATCATACATAATTCAGGGGACAGACGTTTTATTACTGTCAGGCAGTAATTGCGACACTGTAAGCAATCAGCAAGTCAGGCCTGGCTTTCAAGTGATGTGGTTTATAGGAAATCCACCATGCATTTCAGACAACATTGTATAAGGAAGTGCCTCTTTCCGTATTATTTGGTAAGAGGTGATTTTGATTAATGACTATGACTGAGCTGTGCTTTCATCTCTTGTTCAGAGCACACACACACACACACACACACACACACACACACACAAAACATTGACTACATAATATTTAGAACTGTATTTCCTTTGAATTGTCCCCTATTGAGCGATTGAGACAAACAGGTATGTAGGCCGATCTAATGCAAATTCTGGTGTCAGCAGATTTGAATCTATTTGAAGGCAGAACATGAAAACTGTTGTCAGTTTGGCCTTCAAGTGAGGCATGTTCCCCTCAAACTGGAGTGTGAGTGCAAACAGAGAAGCACATCTATTCTCATTATTCTACACACAGTGCATTTGTGATTTGGAGGTTTCTGTCTCCAGGCAAGGACATATAGGGACATAAAGAAGATATATCCTTCTTGGTTAACAATGCACAGCTAGCAGGAAGCTCACCTTCCAAACACGCATATGTTCTCAGACAGATGATTAATGTTTGCTGCATATTGCTTCTAAAAATACACATGCTTACTAATGTTTTTCTTTAAACTCCTCTGTAATGAAGTAGGTTTTCATAGCTAAACATGCGACTGTATGAACTGAATCTGTTTCTTTGATATGCCTTAATGAAGCAAACATTAAAAACCATAGAGTAGTATTCAATATCTTTGAAGGCAGTGTTTGTGTATGTTGGTAGCTGTCAAATTATGTGGGTAGTTTAGGTTAAAATAGGTACTATGAATGCGTAAGGGAAAGTTCATTAGCCATTTATTTTATGTGTTTTCACCATTTTATTCACCCATTTGTATTTTATATGGGTAGGATGTCTTTCTTCAGGTCACTGTCTTCTTTATACACTGTAAAAAATGATATGATGAAAAAGCCATGACAGCTAAAAAAATAAATTTTAAATGTTTCAAACAAATGTAGTATATTTTTTTATCTGGATCTAAAATAAAGTTTACATTATCATAACTAGAAAATGAATGTTAAAAATTTTGAACTTAAGTTGAAACAGCAAATATTGTAAAGTCAAATGAACTTCAATAAAACAATTCAGCACTAGGCAAGATTTAAATTAGTGAGTTGAAATTACTTGTACTTTTAAGTTGATTTAACTTAAAATTTTAAGGCAGCCACAAAACTTGCGTTTTTAAGTTGAAGGGTGAAATTTTTTTACAGTGTAGAAATATATCATATTTACTTTATTTTGAACTTTGCTCCAGTAATTAGACATCATGTGACCATTCTGAATTATTGAGTGAGACCAAAACGTCATGTAAATAATGAATGAAAAGGGTGTAACAAAGCTGGGTAATAGAGAGTTAGAGGGACAGATGTGAAGCAACAAGGGAAATCCCTCATGGGATGAGTAACATTCATTAGCTGTTTTACAGCTTAATTGAGGTAAGAGGAAGGGAGAACCAGCAAGTTCAGCACGTGAACACAGGTAGAGGATGTTCCCATAGTCGTGCTACATCATTTTTTACAACAATCTATATCGTAACTGGGTGATCGACCCGTATTTGTGTACCACACCGGTCTGAGGAAATTAACTTTCTCAAGATATCAGGATAAGCTGCGTGAAATAATACGATATAGGTAGCATATCTCGAATTTTAAAAGAAAATAAATAAATGTATGGAAAAAGTGTATTTTCTAGACTAATTGGAGTAGAATGTGTGTGGCTCAACTTTCTATTTATTTTGTGCTAATGACGTTCTCATGGAGGCAAACGCGTTGCGCATGTGCACATGAGATGTATATGTGTGGAAGAGGTAGGTCAGTTCTTTGTATAATTGGGCGAATAGTTGGGGTTTTCGGTTTTCTGTGGCAAAAACACAAGTAATATGCTTTTCGAAAAAGAAAAATAATCCAAGCTTGAATGTCAAAATGCATGGTTATCAGCTGGAACAAGTAAATTTAGTAAGATTTTTGGGTATGTGGATGGACTCTAAATTAAATGTTAAAATTCATATACACAAACTGATAGAAAAATGCAAAAAAGGAATAAATGTCTTAAGGTGCTTGTCAGGAGCTGAGTGGGGGGAAAGCTGTCAGTCATTGAAAATAATTTATTGTGCTGTCAAACATAGATTATGGTAGTGTAGTTGACAGTTCTGCGAACAAAACCTTACTTAAAAAGATAGAGGTAATACAAAATCAAGCTTTGCGCATTTGCTGTGGAGCATTTAGATCTTCTCCGGTGGCTTCATTACAAGTTGAAATGGGAGAATTGCCTCTAGAACAGCGTAGGTTTCAGCTGAGATTAAGGTACTGGTATGGTGTAAAGGGACATCTGGAAAACCATCCAGTTAAACTAATTCTGAAAGATTGTTGGGAATATGAATACAAAGAAATTACAAGCTTTGGTTGGGTAGTAGGCCTGCACATGTGGGTGTGTGGATGGAAATGAGGAAGTAGACTTGCTAGCAAAGAAAGCATTAAATCATCCACAAATAGAAATGAAGGTAGCTTTAAGTAAAGCTGAATTCAAGAGAGTGATATAATTTGATGTAAGTAAGAAATGGCAAAAGTTATGGAATAGTTCAACCAGAAAGAACTGTGATATGTACTGACTCAATGGCTGTGCTCATTAGCCTACTAAGT